AAAAAAAAAAAAAAAAAAAAAAAGAATAGGATAAAATATTTGCAAATCACAGATCTGGTAAGGGGCTAGTATACAGAATAATCAAGACAAATACTCAAGTGAAAAATGGGCAAGGCATTTGAACAGACAGTTCTCCAAAGAAGATATGCAAATAACCAATAAGCATACAAAAAGATGCTCAGTATCATTAGTCATTAGAGAAATGCAAATCAAACAATGAGATACTACTTTATACCCACTAGGATGGCTTTGATCTATCCAAAAGACAGATGATAGACACTGGAACCCTCATACACTGGTAGTAGGAATGTCAAATGGTGCAGCTGCCTTGGAAAACAGTTTAGCATTTTTTCAAAATGCTGAACATAGGGTTCCCATATGACTCAGCAATTTCATTCCTAGGTATATACCCAAGATAAATGAAAATATATGTCCACACAAAAACTTATATATAAATATTTATAGCAGCATTATTCATATGAGCCAAAAAGTGAAACAATCCAGATATCCATCAAATGAAGAACGGATACCTGAAATGTGGCATAACCATTCAAAGGAATTTATTTAGCAATAAAAAGAATGAAATACTTGATACATACTACAATATAAAACAAGCTTGAGAGACAGCCAGCCCCTGAACCAGCCACACCAACTGTGGCTGCCCAGCACCAATAAACGTGCTGCTGTGTCAATGTCCCAGGAGACAACACTGGTCTGGAACTCCCGTCAAGCCACATGGAGTGGGGAGCTGCTGTAGGAAGGTTGTTTAGATGAATTCTCTGGGCTATTCAAGAAGGAGGCAGACACAGGCCTGATTAGACCACTGGTACAACAGTGGAACAGAGCCGGAGAAATGAGTAACGCTCCGGTGATCTACATTTTTTCAGTCTCCCAGCTTTAGCCTTGGTCTCAGTGCTCAGCTTCCTAATTTGTCTATTTTTAGTAGAGATGGGATTTCACCATGTTGGCCGCTGGTCTTGAACTCTAGACCGCAGGTAATCCACCTGCCTCAGCCTCCCAAAGTGCTGGGATTATAGGCGTGAGCTACAGCGCCCGGCCCCATTTTCCTCATTTTAAAACCATCTGAATTTCAAAGCTAAATATTTTAATTGCTGATTGTGTTACTTGTTGGATCTCTTAAAACTTTTTCCAACCTTTCTACATCTTACTGCTTTTTAGACAGGAATAAAATTATGCCACTGATATTTGCAGTATGATTAGTAATCAACAAAGACAGGAAGTAATAATCCATCAAAACACCATTTCAGATCTAATCCTTACCCATTGATTCCTCATTAGAACTCTTGAGGCAAAAATTCAGTGGAGTAACAGCAAGAGTAACTTCCTCTTGACTTGATGTAAAAAGAACAATGGCATCAGCAAGCAATCTATAAAATGTAAAAAACAGTATTAACATTATTTGAAAAACAAAGAGAAAGACATACCTTATTAACTGGGACTCAAATCTCTTATCTGGAAATATATAATTTCCAGGCTCACGCCTGTAATCCCAACACTTTGGGAAGTCAAGGCAGTTGGATCACCTGAGGCCAGGAGTTCAAGACCAGCCTGGCCAACATGGTGAAACCCTGTCTCTACTAAAAATACAAAAATTAGCCAGGCATGGTGGCGGGCACCTGTAATCCCAGCTACTCAGGAGGCTGAGGCAGAAGAATTGCTCGAACACGGGAGGTGGAGGTTACAGTGAGCCAAGATCGCACCACTGCACTCCAGCCTGGGTGACAGAGTAAGACTCTGTCTCAAAAAAAAAAAAAAAAGATAAAAATGAAATTTTTAGAATTTATGTAATCTTGGTGTTAATCTGATGTTAAGACATTGGCTGAGCAGCGTTTCTTGATATCAAAATGTCAGGAACACCTACAAAATTCATTTGGGAAGTTTTCCGGTGTTAAGCAGGGGCAGTTATACAAGATGCCAAATAACTTGACACAGAAAAAATGACAATATGAATGTGCAATTCAAAAAGGAAAGAAGGAAGGGCCAGGTGTGGTAGCTCACACCTGTAATCCCAGTACTTTGGGAGGCTGAGGCAGATGGATCACTTGAGCTCAGGAGTTTGTCTCAATCAGCCTGAGCAACATGTTGAAACCCCATCTCTACAAAAAATATGAAAATTAGCTGGGCATGGTAGCTTGTACCTGTAGTGCCAGCTACTTGGGAGGCTGAGGCACAAGAACTATTTGAACCCAGGAGGTGGAGGTTGCAGTGGACCAAGATCACATCACTGCACTCCAACCTTGGCCATCGAGGAAGACTTTGTCTCAAATAATAATACTAATCATAGTAATAATAATAAAACCATATGGATAAAATATCCTTGGGTCACAAAATAACGTTAATTAATGTTTAATGCTACAACTGAACTGAAAACTGGATGCATTTCAAATAATAAGTTTCAAGTTTCAAATTTCAAGACAAATATGCCTCACTATCATTATCTAGAGAAAAAAAAACTGTTAACAGTTAGGGCCAAAATCATTTCACATAAAAAATGTTAAAATTTCCTCAAGCTCCGTGTTCTAAGATTCAAACAGGTACCATATAAATGCAACTTGACATAAAAATCCACTGATTGGAGATTTTTAGAACTTTCTTGGGTCACTAAATTAGTATTGCTACCATTAGTTATTGTCCACTATTGTCTTTTTCAAGGTTTCCTCTTGCCCCTGAAGGGTGATCTCTCCAAGTCAAATTTTAGCTTAAAAAATATGTATACTGACTGAAAGCTCTAGGGCATTAATTCTTCACTCCCTGACCATATTATATCCAGGAGAAAAGAAATTGACAACAGAGAACTCATTACCTTGGTTGAATCATTAGTGTATTAGTACAAACATTCTTGTCAAAAATAACTTGCAAAGGCTGACTTTCTTGAAAACATATATTATGAGTTCTTTTAATACCTTAAAAGGAATAAAGCCACCTCTTAATAACTTTAAGTACAAAATTAACAAACCACATAAGTTTCACAACCAAATTAAAATAATAAAAGTAACATTATTATCTGGGGAGTGCATACAGCTTGGAGAAGCACTATTCCTTAATGAAATGTGTTTATCGCTCCCTGGTGGACACCAAGCAATATGTCACTGCCTTGACCAATCAGGCAGGAGAATTCCCAAATTCCTTTGAAATACAAGCAGTTTCCTTGTTTATTTGTTTGTTTTTTTGGTTAATTTTTTTTATTGATACATGCTATTTTAAAATATTTATGAGGTACATGCAGCTGGGCGCGGTGGCTCACGCCTATGTAATCCCAGCACTTTGGGAGGCCACGGTGGGTGGATCACTTGAGGCCAGGAGTTCAAAACCAGCCTGGTCAACATGGTGTAACCCTGTCACTACTAAAAATACAAAAATCAGCCAGATATGGTGGCACACACCTGTAATCCCAGCTACTCAAGGCTGAGGTACGAGAATCGCTTGCACCTTGGAGGCGGAGATTGCTGTGAGCTGAGACCATGCCACTTGTACACTCCAGCCTGGGTGACAGGGTGAGGCTGTCTCAAAAAAAAATTATGGATTACATGTGATATTTTGTTACATGCATAGACTGTGCATTTATCAAGCCAGAATATTTGGGGTGTCCATAACCTCAAATATGTAACATTTCTTTGTGTTAAGAACATTTCAAGTCCTCTCTCCCAGCTACTTTGAAACATAGAATACATTGCTGCCAACTACAGTCACTCTACTTTGCTACCCAGTGTTAAAATTTAGTCCTACCTAATCGTATGTTTGTACCCACTAAGCAATCTCTCTTCGTACTCACCCACACACCGTTCCCAGCCTCTGGTATCTACCATTCTACTCTCTACTTCCATGAAATCAACTTTTTTAGCATCCACACTGTGAGTGAGAACATGATTTCTTTCTTTTCTTTTTCTTTTTTTTTTTTTTTTTTTTTTTTTTTTTTTTTTTTTTTTTTTTTTTTTTTTTTTTTTGAGATGGAGTCTCACTTTGTTGCCCATGCTGGAATGCAAGTTGCATGACCTCAGCTCACTGCAACCTCCACCTGCTGGGTTCAAGCAATTCTCCTATCTCAGCCTCCCAAGTAGATAGAACTATAGGCATGTACCATCATCCCCAGCTAATTTTGTGTTTTTAGTAGAGACAGGGTTTCTCCTTGTTGATCAGGCTGATCTCAAACTCCTGATCTCAGATGATCCCCCCGCCTCGGCCTCCCAAAGTGCTGGGATTACAGGCTGGCTTTTACCCTGGGGAAAATGGGGAGCTATTGGAGAGTTTTGAGCATCAGAGTGATATATGACCTATTTTAAAGGGATCACTGTGGCTGCTGTTTTGGGACGATACAGAGCTCAAAAGGTGACATATTTTACCTATTTTTAAAATTATTTTCAAGTTACCTTTGGGAATAGTTAGAAGATGCACATGGGACAAAATGCAAAAGGTATAAAAGAACAGACAGTAAAAGTGAGGTCACCCTCCATCCCTGACTCCTGCCACCCCAGAACCTCCACAGAAGCAACTACTGCTACCAGTTTTTTAGGTGTTCTTTAGAAATAGCCTATGCATATATAAGTGTGTTTATACCCATATAACAAATATTTGAATCAAGTAAATATTGGTATTGCTGAGGATGTGCAAGCTGAGAAGTGTCTTGTCTTTGTCATCCCCAATGCTCCCTTCTTGCTACTTGCCTTCTTTCCCTTTTTACTTATAAGCACACATGAGACCCCCTCAACCTGTATTTTTTCACACTGCTCCTTCATCTTAGACTATCCTCCCAGGCTGGGCACAGTAGCTCATGCCTGTAATTCCAGCACACTAGGAGGCTGAGACAGGAGGACTGCTTGGCTCAGGAGTTTGAGACCAGCTTCAGAAACAGTGAGACCTTGTATCTACTGAAATTCTTTTTAAAATTACGTGTGAAAAAAAATTAGCCAGGTATGGTGGGCACAGTTGCTCACACCTGTAATCCTAGCACTTGGGAGGCCAAGGCAAGCAGATTGCTTGAATCCAGGAGTTCAGGACCAGCCTGGGAAACATGGTGAAACACCATCTCTACAAACAATATAAAAAACTAGCCAGGCATGGTGGCACACTCCTGTGATCCCAGCTACTCTGGAGGCTGAGGTGGGAGGATCACCTAAGCCCAGGAAGTCAAGGCTGCAGTGAGCCAAGATCATGCCCCTGCACTCCATTCTGGGCGACAGACTTTGTTTCAAAAGAGAAAAGAAGCTGCACCCTGGATCAAACCATGCCCATGGATCATGCCTGTAATCCCAGCACTCTGGGAGGCCAAGGCAAGAGAACTGCTTGAGCCCAGGAGTTTGAGACCAGCCTGAGCAACATGACGAGACCCTGACTCTACAAAAATTAAAAACAAAAACAAAAAAATCATGCCTGTGACCTACATTTTTTTTGAGACAGAGTCTGGCTCTGTTGCCCAGGCTAGAGTGTAGTAGCGTGATCTCAGCTTACCACAACCTCTGCCTCCCAGGTTCAAGCGATTCTCCTGCCTCAGTCTCCCAAGTAGCTGGGACTACAGGCATGTGCCACCATACCCAGCTAATTTTTTTTGTATTTTTAGTAAAGACGGGGTTTCACTGTGTCAGTCATGATGGTCTCGATCTCCTGACCTCGTGATCTGCCTGCCTTGGCCTCCCAAAGTGCTGGGATTACAGATGTGAGCCACTGTGCCTGGCCTCCTGTGACCTAATTTTGAATTTTTTGTTTACATGAAACAATACTTCTCTTTATTCTTCAAGCTAGTTTGAGTTGGACCATCTGCTTTTATTTGTTACTTGTAAGCTAAAGCATCCTATCATATAACTACCCTACAAAAACTATTTAAAAATTAACCAATCACAAATACTTATTGGACATTATTCAAGCTATTTGAGAGCTACTTCCAGAAACTGAATACTTGCTTGTCTAAAATCTAGTTGGAGATAAGGGAAGAGGAAAATTATAGTAACAGCAGTCACTATCAAGTACTCCCTCTGAAGCAGGAACTGTGGTATGTGCTTTACATATGTGATCTCACTTCATCCTCACAATCACCCCGTAACTTGAGGGTATACAAGATCATCCCCACTTTACAGTAAGGAAATGAAGATTCAGAGAGCTCATGCACTATCCCAAAGCTAATAAGAAGTAGAAGAGAATTTACACCGACATCTTTGTGATGTCAAGGCTTGCTATGCTTTCAATCATTCTCTTTGAATCATTCTGCCGTTAAATGAACAGAAGTTCAAAGAAAAAAAAAATAATGTTAAACTATTGGTATTTTATAGGAAACAATTCAAAGAATATAAATATATGCTGAAATAAAAATATAATAAATGTAAGATTAAATTAAGAAATACAGCTGGGGCCGGACCATTCTGGCCAACATGGTGAAACCCCGTCTCTACTACAAATACAAAAATTAGCTGGGCGTGGTGGTGCATGCCTGTAATCCCAGCTACTCAGGAGGCTGAGGCAGGATAATCACTTTAACCAGAGAGTCAGAGGTTGCAGTGAGCCAAGATCATGCCACTGCACTCCAGCCTGGTGACAGAGCAATACTCCATCTCAAAAAAAAAAATATATGGCTGGGCACAGTGGCTTATACCTGTAATTTGGGAGGCTGAGGCAGGCGGATCACCTGAGGTTGGGAGTTTAAGATCAGCCTGACCAACATGAAGAAACCCCGTCTCTACTAAAAATATAAAATTAGCCAGGCATGGTGGCACATGCATGTAACCCCAGCTACTCAGGAGGCTGAGGCAGGAGAATCGCTTGAACCTGGGAAGTGGAAATTGTGGTGAGCTGAGATCACACAATTGCACTCCAGCCTGGGCAACAAGAGCAAAACTCCATCTCAAAATAAATAAATAATAAAATAAATATATAAATAAATGCTGAAATAAAAATGTACTATAATAAATGTAAAATTAAATTAAGAAATCCAGCCAGGTGTGGTGGCTCACGCCTGTAATCCCAGCACTTTGGGAGGCCAAGGCGGGCAGATCACCTGAGGTCAGGAGTTTGAGTCCAGCCTGGCCAACATGATGAAACCCTGTCTCTACTAAAAATACAAAAAATTAGCCGGGCATGGTGGTGGGTGCCTGTAATCCCAGCTAGTCAGGAGGCTGAGGCAGAAGAATCAATTGAACCCAGGAGGAGGAGGTTGCAGTAAGCTGAGATCACGCCACTGCACTCCAGTCTGGGCAATAAGAGGGAAACTCCATTTCAAATAAATAAATACAAAGATACATACATACATACAAGATAAATTACAACAGTAAGATAACCTTTCATAAAACTATCCTACTACAAAAAAAAAAAAAAAGATTTGGACCAATAACACAAGATTTTTTTTTTTTGCCTCCTCAAATTTCAACTTCAAAATATACAACTTATCCCCATTTTACATACATTAGGAAAGTGAGGGACAGAGATGTAAAATAATTTGCCCATGCTCTCACCATGGAAGAGGCAGAACCAGATTTTACCCTATACCTTTTGGCCTTCGGGTTCCATGCTCTCTTTTTTTTGAGACAGTGTCTCCCAGGTGGGAGTATGCAGTGGTGCCATCACTGCAGCCTCCATCTCCGTGGCTCAAGCCATCCTCCAGCCTCAGCCTCCAGAGTAACTGGGACTACAGACACGTAACACCATGCCTGGCTAATTTTCTAATTTTTTGTGGAGACAGGGTCTCATATTTTTCCCAGGCTGGTCTCAAACAGAGATTAAGAGAGTTCCTGCTCTTGATCTCTATGCTATACATGTTTAAGCATAGAAAAGTCCTGTGATTACGATTTTTTTTTTTTTTTTTTTGGAGACGGAGTCTCGCTCTGTTGCCAGGCTGGAGGTGCAGTGGCACGATTTCAGCTCACTGCAACCTCCCACTCCTTGGTTCAAGGGATTCTTCTGCCTCAGCCTCCTGAGTAGCTGGGATTATAGGCACATGCCACCACACCAAGCTAATTTTTGTATTATTAATAGAGACAGGGTTTCACCACGTTGGCCATGATGGTCTCCATCTCCTGACCTCATGATCCACCTGCCTCAGCCTCCCAAAGTGCTGGGATTACAGGCATGTGCCACTGCACCCAGTGATTATAACATTTTAATATCTAGCATGCATGGCTAAGAGTCAGGAAATCTGTTTTAGAGCTTGGTGTAGCAGAGAGAATGAATGTAGACTTTTGCTCCCACTCTCTTAGGCATGGACTCAAATCCAGGCTCTGCAACTTACTAGCTCTGCAACTTACTAGCTCAATCACCTTAGGCAAGTCATTATGCTTCTTTCAGCCCCAGATGCAATATAAACTGTCTCCTAGACTGCTGTCAGTATAGGCAAGCATTATTCTTTTCTGTTCTTACCAAGGAGCATTTGTGGTTAAGTCAACACATATAAAACACTCTTAAAAATATCATCAAGCAGCTAGTAAATTTTAGAACAAGCAATCGTTTGAATTCACATAGATATTTGAAAAACTTAGGCTGTATGCTGGCAAAGCTTTTGCCACTGACAAGTCAAAAAAGGAAATAATTAATACCAATCATCTTACAATAGTTCTACAGTGACAGGTAAGGTAATACTTCAGGCTGGGCGTGGTAGCTCATGCCTGTAATCCTAGCACTTTGGGAGGCTGAGGCAGGCAGATCACCTGAGGTAAGGAGCACCGAGATCAGCCTGACCAATATGGTGAAACCCTGTCTCTACTAAAACTACAAAAATTAGCTGGGCATGATGGCAGGTGCCTGTAACCCCAGCTACTAGGGAGGCTGAGGTGGGAGAACTGCTTGAACTCTCAAGGCGGAGGTTATAGTGAGCTGAGATCACACCATTGCACTCCAGCCTGGGCAACCTGTCTCAGATAAATAAATAAATAAATAAATAAAAATACTTCAAACTGCCCTACTGCTTAACTACCCACACTCTAAGCAATAATGTAATGAGAAGTCTTGACATGAAATCTGAATGTTCTAAACATGAAAACTATTGGGAAAAAAAATCCACAATATTTTAAACCACCTTCAATTATACCTACCGTGTCTGTAGAAAAATTGAATAACTACTTTGCATTTATCAGATCTGGTGAATATTTTGCACTTCTCTATATTTCTTTCAAGGGAATTCAGACATCTAAAGATAGGCAAAATTGACTGTAACACAAATATACATATTAAGCACATACTTAACATGGACAATTCATTTTAAAAACAAAACCATATGCATTCATAAATGAACAGAGTTGGCCAGGCGTGGTGGCTCATGGCTGTAATCCCAGCATGTTGGGAGGACAAAGTGGGCAGATCACATGAGGTCAGGAGTTCAAGACCAGCTTGGTCAACATCGTGAAACCCCATCTCTACTAAAAATACAAAAATTAACTGAGCATGGTGGTGAATGCCTGTAATCCCAGCTACATGGGAGGCTGAGGCACAAGATCACTTGAAACCAGGAGGTAGAGGTTGCAGTGCCAAGATTACACCACTGCACTCTAGCCTGGGTAACAAAGCAAGACTTTGTCTCTAAATAAATAAATAAAAATAATAAATGAACAGACTTGTCCTGAATACCATTTAAGCTATTAGGTATAGAATACAGGTTATGTCCTATATAATGAATATTTCTACAGAATAAGAGAAAACCAGAGCCACTTATATTTACCTTCATTCCCAACTTGCATTTTAAATTCAATGTTGTGTCATGTTCATTTTCATTCATTTTCACTAAAGTTGACCATTGATAATGTTGAAAAAACACAGGAGAGAACAGAACACATCCATATGCCGACCGAGAAGAATTCACAGATCTTAGAGCAAGCTAGAAAAATAAGATAAAAACTATTTAGAAGAGGCTGGGCATGGTGGCTCCCATGAACCTGTAATCTGAGCACTTTGGGAATCCAAGGCAGGAGGATGACTTGAAGCCAGGAGTCTGAGACCAGCCTGGGCAACATAACAAGACCCTACCTCTATTTTTTTATTTAAAAAAAAATTAGGGGAAAATAAACTTCCTTTAAATAATAGCTTGATTCAGGAAACTTCATTATGTTTAACAGTTAAATGTGTTCAAATAGGAACAAAGGATGTTAATTATGGACTGCCCTATACAGGCTAAATTGAATTTGCATATGTATATACATATGTGTACACATCTATTATATTGAATACATACGTTTGTTAAATCTGAAAGTTTGCATGTTGAAAACATAAAACAGTAAATGCCTACAGGGGCCTTAACATTCTTTTAATTTCCTTTTTACTTTTTTTTTTTAAACAGCCTGTTAGCCAGGCTGGAGTACAGTGGTACCATCACAGCTCACTACAGCCTCCAAACACCTTACCTCAATGGATCTTCCCTTCTCAGCCTCCCAAGTAGCTAGGATTACAGGCACACAACACCTCACCCGACTAACTTTTTAAATTTTTTTGTAGAGACAGGTAGGGTCTTGTTTTGTTCCTCAGGCTGGTCTCAAACTCCTGGGCTCAAGTGATCCTCCCGTCTCAGCCTCCCAAAGTGCTGGGATTACATTTGTGAACTACCACACCCAGCCATGGGCCTTAAATCTAATGTGTGAAATGGCAGAAGGCAATATATAAGGGAGTTACAACATATTGGTGGTCTCACACCATATCTAAGGGGGGAAGCCATTACTCAGTTTCAGCCAGCTACTTCTACTTGGGAATGAATGCAGGCCCAAAACTGTCAGGTCTTCTGAATTTTCAAGAGAAGCAGGAAAAACTGGACTCTCAATTTTAAATGTTAGAAATTATTTCAAATTGAAAAAAACAACACAGTGCAGCCCAATAAAACATTCCTGCAGACCGTATCTAGTCTCTTGACTACCAGTTTGTGACTTCTGGTTTAAATGAATTAGGTTTATCAGCATATTTTCACTTTACTTTGCTCTAAATGTATTCAGATATGTAAAATAAAGATAAACAGTGAAGGGGATAATTATAATTTCTAGATTTCCTAGTTAACATTCAGTCTGGACTGGGATCTTTAAACATCTCCTCTTGCCTCAATACATGGTCTATTAACTTTCTTACTTACACCTTTTTTAGATGGATCTAGCCATAGCTGGTCACTAATTCGTGATAGAGCTTGAACTGCTTTCCCAAATACTATGGAGAAAAAGAAAGGTGATGCTTATATTCTTTCCTTCTAACAACAAATCGCAAAACTAGTTCAGCATTCAAAGGACTCGAGATAAATTCATAAAGAACAGTATCTTATAGACTCACTACATCACTTTAATACAGTATAACACCCTTGGCAAAATACCAGACATATTATAAGGGCTCAATAAATTTGCAGAGTGTCAAAAATGATAAAACTGACTGAAATTCTTCCTTCTATATGTTTACAGTGTTGCATGGAGTTACTGTGGCAAGCCAATTTCCATACTAATATATTTTACAACTTGATTTAGATAAATGTAATTTGACTCCCCCAAAACTGTGAAAAGAGTACATGGAGAAGATGATTTGAAGTGGTTATAATAGCTCGATAGACAGCGAGGTCACCACAAATAATGAGAGAAATTACGGGTATTCAACATTCATCTCTGATGTTTTAGGGTAGCCAGACTTCCTCATACACTAGTCTGATCCCGTAGGACACTGTTTATGTTCTTTTTGTTTTTTTTTTGAGACGGAGTCTTGCTCTGTCACCAGGCTGCAGTGCAATGGCGCAATCTCGAGAAGCCTAAGCCAGACCGAGAGCCACCTCCTCTCCCAGTGTCATCCCTGGAGGGAGAATGCCTGCTGTTCTACCAACACCAGCCAGGAAGCCCACAAGGATATTTCCTACCTATATAACTTCAACTGGAACCACTGGAGAGAGATGGCACCTGCCTACAAACGGCATTTCATCCAGGACACCTGCCTCTATGAGTGTTCCCCCAACTTGGAGCCCTAGATTCAGCAGGTGGATCAGAGCTGGCATAAAGAGCGGGTACTGGACGTACCCCTGTGCAAAGAGGACTGTGAACAATGGTGGAAAGATTGTGGTACCTCCTACACCTGCAAGAGCAACTGGCACAAGGGCTGGAATTGGACCTCAGGGTCTAACAAGTGCCCGGTGGAAGCTGCCTGCCTACCTTTCCATTTCTACTTCCCCACACCCACTGCTCTGTGCAATGAAATCTGGAGTCACTCCTTCAAGGTCAGCAACTACAGGCGAGGGAGTGGCCGCTGCATCCAGATGTGATTCGACCCGGCCCAGGGCAACCCCAACAAGAAGGTGGCGAGGTTCTATGCTGCAGCCATTAGTGGGGCTGGGCCCTGGGCGGCCTGTCCTGTCCTCCTCAGCCTGGGCCTGCTCTGGCTGCTCAGCTGACCTCTCCGTTTACCTTCTGATACCTGTACATCCCTGGGCTGTTCAGCCCCATAGCTCCCAACTGATTGGTTTCTGCTCCATGGTTGGGCCTCTGACAGCTACTT